GGTTCCATGGCACAGGGTGTATGAGTTGATATATAAAACGACACAAGATTCAATACTTTTTTTGTGGTTTTCAGCTAAAATTCTTGTACAGAATTCTTGCCACCAACAAAATGTTTAATATTTGGGGCATAAAATCATCGCAGCTCTGCAGATTTTGTTGTGAGGATACAGAATCAATTTGTTTTGGTATTGCCCTCAGGTAGCCTGTTTCTGGTCTCAGGTTCAGGAATGCCTGAAAATGCATAACATTGATCTAAAATTGACCCTATAAATAGTATGGTTCGGCTGGTTAAGGGGCAGCTCTTGGGGAACTGTGGGGGGGATCTTGGAGGGCTGGTGGCCTGGCGGATGGGAGCTTGGGCCGGTGGCTGATAGGTCGCTGGTTCGGGTCCCCGTTTTTGACCTTGTGGTTGATCTGTCGACGTGCCCTTGAGCAGGGCGTTGACCCTGTTTCATTCTGTGGGTCGCTCTGGATGGGAGTCTGTTAGACGACTGAATGTGATGTAGATGTTGAGCGGCTTCACTGCAAGTAGATCGTATGTTTTAAATATTCAATAAAATAAAAATAAAAAGCAGAGAAAAGATACACTCCTTCCTACCGCCTTTCATTATGTGTATTGTTTCACCCATTCTAACTACCTTTAACACCTATTGAAGATAGTATCCTCTGGCCAGGGCAGTTTCTTTTAGAGCCCCGATGCTTGTTCTGAATGTTCAAACGTATCGCTTGCAGTACGGTTTTGGAAACAGGAACATATTTTTCAAAAAACAAAAGGTTAAATTACTACACACCATTTATAGGGTCAGGGTTCCCACATGGCTTTATTTCCATGTTACAGAGCTTGTTTATGGAAAACAGACGGAAGACTGAGGCATACTTGTGCTAATTAGCTATCTGCGTCTCCGAACACCTGTGTGTAAGCGGAAGAAGGACGCCATGTTGTCACTGAAATACTGTCGGCTGCAACTGTTAAAACTGGTTTAAAAAGTGTACAGTAAGTGTATATTTTGCATCTGTGAAATTATTTTGATGTGATATGAAACTATAGGGCTTTATGTTTCTAGAACTGTACCGCAATTGAGAATCAATTCACGTTTAGATGGTTTAGAGCCAATTCGCCTTTAAACAGAACATGCTAAGGTCCTTGGACTATAAGGTGTAACTTTAGGCTCCTTTAGTCCATTATTGGGCTAGGCAATGTTAGACCACCTCTCCTTGTTCTTATGACATTGCATGCATTAATTACTATACAGTGCATTCGGAAAGTATTCAGACCCCTTGACTTTTTCCACGTTTTGTTACGTTACAGCCTTGTTCTAAAATTGATTAAATAGTTTTTTCCCTCATTAATACCCAATATTGACGAAGCAAAAACAGGTTTTTAGAAATGATTGCAAATAAAAAAATAAAAAAATACTGAAATATCACATTTACATAAGTATTCAGACCCTTTACTCAGTACTTTGTTGAAGTAACTTTGGCAGCGATTACAGCCTCGAGTCTTCTTGGGTATGACGCTACAAGCTTGGCACACCTGTATTTGGGGAGTTTCTCCCATTCTTCTCTGCAGATCCTCTCAAGCTCTGTCAGGTTGGATGGGGAGCATCGCTGCACAGCTATTTTCAGGTCTCTCCAGAGATGTTCGATCGGGTTCAAGTCCGGGCTCTGGCTGGGCCACTCAAGGACATTCAGAGACTTGTCCCGAAGCCACTCCAGCATTGTCTTGGCTGAGTGCTTAGGGTCATTGTCCTGTTGAAAGGTGAACCTTCGCCCCAGTCTGAGGTCCTGAGCGCTCTGGAGCAGGTTTTCATCAAGGATCTCTCTGTACTTTGCTCCGTTCATCTTCCCCTCAATCCTGACTAGTCTCCTAGTCCCTGCCGCTGAAAAACATCCCCACAGCATGATGCTGCCACCACCATGCTTTATCGTAGGGATGGTGCCAGTTTTCCTCCAAACATGACACTTGGCATTCAGGTCAAAGAGTTCAATCTTGGTTTCATCAGACCAGAGAATCTTGTTTCTCATGGTCTGAGAGTCCTTTAGGTGCCTTTTGGCAAACTCCAAGCGGGCTGTCGTGCCTTTTACTGAGGAGTGGCTTCCGTCTGGCCACTCTATTATAAAGGCCTGATTGGTGGAGTGCTGCAGAGTTGGTTGTCCTTCTGGAAGGTGTGAGAGAGAAAATCTGTATTAGCATTACTTTTTAGGTTAATATAAATGATAGGTGTGTACAATCCTGTTACTCTGTTTAAGTTGCTGTTTTAACATAACTCTGTACCTAATCCACCACGGCTGTGCACATCTCGTGTTCTTACCCCCACCCTCTGTACTCTGAAACTTGCATGTTCGGATAAAATGTATCTCTGTTTCGAACGAAGTCTCTCCTTATCCTCTATTCTAAGAACAAACAGTTCTTAGTACTCGCATGAGAACACAGAGGACTCAACAGTATTTGGCCACCTCATCCAGTAGATATCTGTTGGTTCGACACATTGAGACAGTTGTGGTGGAACCAGCCATGACTAAGCATTTCTAGGTCTACTATATAAGACCTCTGTTTATCTCTGTATGTCAGAGCTCTCGGCCCAATACTCAAAAGTGTGGGGTCGACCAGCCTCATTATTGCAGAGCACTCACTCTATTCATTTGTGTGTGTGGTGTGACCTGCTCCCTTATTAATATGTTTTGAATAAAGTAATATCCTGGTTGGTGATTGACCTTGTCTCTCCTCATTTATTAATTAGAATTTCCACGACAAAGGTTCTCCCATCTCCACAGAGGAACTTTGGGGCTCTGTCAGAGTGACCATTTGGTTCTTGTTCACCTCCCTGACCAAGGCCCTTCTCCCCCGATTGCTCAGTTTGGCCAGGCTGTCAGCTCTAGGAAGAGTCTTGTTGGTTTCAAACTTCTTCCATTTAAGAATGATGGAGGCCACTGTGTTCTTGGGGACCTTCAATGCTGCATACATTTTTTGGTACCCTTCCCCAGATCTGTGCCTCAACACAATCATGTCTTGGAGCTTTACGGACAATTCCTTCGACCTCATGGCTTGGTTTTTGCTCTGACATGCATTGTCAACTGTGGGACCTTATATAGACAGGAGTGTGCCTTTCCAAATCATGTCCAATCAATTGAATTTACCACAGGTGGACTCCAATCAAGTTGTAGAAACATCTCAAGGATGATCAATGGAAACGGAATGCACCTGAGCTCAATTTCGATTCTCATAGTAAAGGGTCTGAATACTTACGTAAATAAGGTATTTGTGTTGTTTATCTTTAATACATTTGCAAAAATGTCTCTTTCGCTTTGTCATTATGGGGTATTGTGTAGATTGATGAGGAAAATAGAATAAGGCTGTAACGTAACAAAATGTGGATAAAGTCAAGGGGTCTGAATAATTTCAGAATGCACTGTATATCAAGTTTTGGTCATGTCATACATTAAAAAAAAAAAAATCTTCATTATCATCACACAACTATCTAATTCATATATACACTATATATACAAAAGTATGTGGACAACCCTTCAAATTAGTGGATTTGGCTATTTCAGCCACACCTGTTGCTGACAGGTATATAAAATAGAGCAAAATAGAATAACCACACCATAATAACAGCAAAGTAGCTGCATTTGCATTTGTTTAAGCTGTTTTCTTGTGACATTTATTTGGATACATCCATAACAATGAGCTAATGAGGCGTGATTTCGGCTGGCATAGAAAAAGTGCTCACTCGTCAGGACACTGTTGTTCAGAGGAGCTAGCCAACAACACAGCTAACACAATCACTTCAAACTGAAGCTGGAAAGACAGCAAACTAGCTGCACTTCATTTCATTTGACCTTTTTATCAATTGACATGTCTTTGCATGTCCATAAAAATTATGCCAGCTGATTCATGATTTCGACTGGCTGAGAAACACTGCCTGCCTGTCTGTCTCGTCCCAACTCCCGGACACGTTCATTACTATGGGACAGCTGGAGATCGAATTTGAATATTGAAACAATGTTGCAAATGTCGGAGAGAGAGACAGCAAGGTTTATACAAATCTCCACTGTTGAAAACTAAATGTTAGTCTAAAAGAAATGTGAAATAATGTCTAGATGCTTTTTATAGTGGATATCAAGTTTATAAATTGCCTGGCTGGGCTGATGAGACAGTGGATTGCGCAGTCAGATGGAACAGAGTAAATAGGCATTTTAATTTCATAGATTAGGCGGTGATAACTTGTGGAATAGACACCGGCTTGAATGCGGTTTTAACCAATCAGCATTCAGGATTAGACCCACCCGTTGTATAAACAACAACAGTACTAATTGTGTGATAGTGGGGACGCAGGGCTGTGTTCCAAACAAAAAACTACAAGTGTGCTTGCTTCAGTTCCTCAACCGCAATGTTAGGTGAGCTCAAAAAAGCACCTTATTGTTGAAGGCTTTTTCCTTGTCATAAAAGTGCATGGAAATTACTTAGGAACTGTGCACAGTTTGGAGAGGTGTGTGGCCACTTGGAGACAGCAGACCTCTCATTCAAACCCTTGTTATCGTTTTCTTCTTATGTTGCACTTATCCCAAAATGACAGTGAATATTCTTATTATGTTACTGAATGTATTATGTAGACTTAGTTATTGACAAATGCTGTGAAAGTTACAGTAAATGTAAAACACACATAAAATCAACAGTGTAATGTTTGATTTCAGTCTTGTGTCAAGTGAACTGTCACACATTTGGTTTGATAATTTCCCCATAATGTCAAAAGTGTTCAATTTCAATATCCCATTATGACTGTAGCTACCAGCAGATTGGCTCGATGGCGAAAACAGCAGGTTTTTTGCATAACACAACTTGCCGGAAGGGAAAAGTTACACAGCCGTTTCGGTGTGTATGAGAGGAAGAGTATATCTAATATTTGGTACAACGTTCTTCTGTGTACATTGCAGACGTTCCCAACATCGGGACTACATGTCCCAGAACGGACTACAAATCCCAGAATTACCTGCTTCCGCGTTTGTTATCAAACATGCTAACATTTTGTTGCTAGCTAGTCGTAAGCCAGCAGCTGTCCAAATATACTTCCTTCATTGTTATTTTATCTTAATTAACTAGGAAACAATTGCATGCGCCTACTCTTACCTGCCACGAAAAACGTTAGCTTCCCTACAGCAATGCTGAAACTAAGTTAGTACCATTAGCTAAGCTATCAACAATGCTAGCATTTTGTACTAGCTACAATGCTGTTGTGTAACGTTTGAATTTGAGTGTCTGCCAGTGTCATTGAGTATCACTGCTTGCCTGAATTGGACCATCATCTGTTGTTTGGTAAGACCTGATCGCATAATTTGAATAGTTAAGGTTTATTGTCTATGAACTTTGCTAGAATGACTAGCTAACCTGGTAGCCAGTCTAATTCATTCTCTACCGTTTGTTGTTGAGTGACTTATTGTAGCTAGCTGCAGTATCTATCTAGCTAAAGCAAATAGCAAGCTAAACAAAATATTTGTTTTTGTACATTTAGGGGTGGGTTTTGGTCAATGTATTTGTTCTACAAACTCACTGTGGATGGAAACAGAAATTGAAAAGTGTGGTTTTAATTGAATTAAGTACATGCAATCATCATCATTAATACTTTATGTTTCCTGATTTTATATTCCGGGGTCCAGACTGTTGCTTCAGCTTATATTTTGGCTGCCACAGAATGCTGTCTACTGTGAGGACATCGTTGGCTAGAATAGCCAGTCATGTGAATTCAAGGTCTGTGATTGGTTTGACACGACCTCTCTGCAGCCATCAGACCTATTCAACTGACCCTGCTGGTGTCAGGGTAAGATAACTAGTGTTGCATATCCTGGGCTCCAAAACAAGATTAATGTTGGCAATATAGTAAATGCATATGTTACAATAAGACAGCCTACAAGACTGTTAACTGCACAGGAACATTTTGATCTTATAGGTAGCTGGAGATCAACAGTCAATGAAATACAGAAAGTTTTTCCTCCCTTCCACTCAATCACAGGTGCTATATGATGGAGAATGCCCCATATGTGTTAAAGAGATCCAATTCCTGCAGTATCTGCAGAGAAACCGACCAGGGAAAGTAGACTTTGTGGACATCTCCCTGCAAGGCTTCGATGAAGAGAAGTATGGGGGGATCAGCTATGAGATGGCCATGGACGAGATGCACGTGATTGATGAGAATAACAAGGTAAACAGCTTGAGTTGGAACGACACTAAATATGGATAATCACCATTGAGTATGGCAAGAATGGCTATGTTTGTTTTTCTTTTGTTTGCTGATCAAAAATATAATTGCAAGATAACTCAACAACAATGTAGGGGCGTGGATCAGATAACCAGTCAGTATCTGGTGTGACCACCATTTGCCTCATGCAGCGCGACACATCTCCTTCGCATAGAGTTGATCAGGCTGTTGATTGTGGCCTGTGGAATGTTCTCCCACTCCTCTTCAATGGCTGTGCGAAGTTGCTGGATATTGGCGGGAACTGGAACACGCTGTCGTACACGTCGATCCAGAGCATCCCAAACATGCTCAATGAGGGACATGTCTGGCGAGTATGCAGACCATGGAAGAACTGGGAAATTTTCAGCTTCCAGGAATTGTGTACAGATCCTTGTGACACGGGGCCGTGCAATATCATGCTGAAACATGAGGGGATGGCAGTGGATGAATGGCACGACAATGGGCCTCAGGATCTTGTCACGGTAGCTCTCTGCATTCATATTGCCATCAATAAAATGCAATTGTGTTCGTTGTACGTAGCTTATGCCTGCCCATACCAGAACCCCACCGCCACCATGGGGCACTCTGTTCACAACGTTGACATCAGCAAACCACTCGCCCACAGAACGCCATATACACTGTCTGCCATCTGCCCGGTACAGTTAAAACTGGGATTCATCCATGAAGAGGACACTTCTCCAGCGTGCCAGTGGCCATCGAAGGTGAGCATTTGCCCACTGAAGTCTGTTACGACGTCAAACTGCAGGCTTCTCCAAGCTCTGATGCTGGTGATGGTCATTAGTAGCCTACCAAACTTGCTAACTGCCTGGTACTCAGTACTCTATTGTCCCTCTAATCCCTCTGACATCAATGGAAATGTAATTGAAAATCTAATCAAACACTTTATTAGAGCCCAAGAGCTCATATTTTGCAACGTTTCTATAGGATATGCAATTGCGTGAGAAAACAGCGTTTTGATGGCCTCTATTAAAAAGAGGAGGATCCCATCAGCTTTCTATAGGCTTACTATATTTATTTCTCAACTTTCCTAATATTAAGCACATTGCTTATCTTTACAACAGGAGTATAGCCTACCTGGCTGGCATGAAAATTAACCATGGGAAATGCGTCCTCCATTCGCTATTTAAGTGCATAGAGAACATGTATTTTTTTTCCTCTGCCCCTGTTTCTAGACAGATGCATGATAGTGGTCCATTCTAAATCAAAACAAATTTCACACATATAATATTTAGTATACAGTGAGGGAAAAAAGTATTTGATCCCCTGCTGATTTTGTACATTTGCCCACTGACAAAGAAATGATCAGTCTATAATTTTAATGGTAGGTTTATTTGAACAGTGAGAGACAGGATAACAACAACAAAATCCAGAAAAACGCATGTCAAAAATGTTATAAATTGATTTGCATTTTAATGAGGGAAATAAGTATTTGACCCCTCTGCAAAACATGACTTAGTACTTGGTGGCAAAACCCTTGTTGCCAATCACAGAGGTCAGACGTTTCTTGTAGTTGGCCACCAGGTTTGCACACATCTCAGGAGGGATTTTGTCCCACTCCTCTTTGCAGATCTTCTCCAAGTCATTAAGGTTTCGAGGCTGACGTTTGGCAACTCGAACCTTCAGCTCCCTCCACAGATTTTCTATGGGATTAAGGTATGGAGACTGGCTAGGCCACTCCAGGACCTTAATGTGCTTCTTCTTGAGCCACTCCTTTGTTGCCTTGGCCGTGTGTTTTGGGTCATTGTCATGCTGGAATACCCATCCACGACCCATTTTCAATGCCCTGGCTGAGGGAAGGAGGTTCTCACCCAAGATTTGACGGTACATGGCCTGGTCAATCGTCCCTTTGATGCGGTGAAGTTGTCCTGTCCCCTTAGCAGAAAAACACCCCCAAAGCATAATGTTTCCACCTCCATGTTTGACGGTGGGGATGGTGTTCTTGGGGTCATAGGCAGCATTCCTCCTCCTCCAAACACGGCAAGTTGAGTTGATGCCAAAGAGCTCGATTTTGGTCTCATCTGACCACAACACTTTCACCCAGTTCTCCTCTGAATCATTCAGATGTTCATTGGCAAACTTCAGACGGGCCTGTATATGTGTTTTCTTGAGTAGGGGGACCTTGTGGGCGCTGCAGGATTTCAGTCATTCACGGCGTAGTGTGTTACCAATTGTTTTCTTGGTGACTATGGTCCCAGCTGCCTTGAGATCATTGACAAGATCCTCCCGTGTAGTTCTGGGCTGATTCCTCACCGTTCTCATGATCTTACATGGAGCCCCAGGCCGAGGGAGATTGACAGTTATTTTGTGTTTCTTCCATTTGCGAATAATCGCACCAACTGTTGTCACCTTCTCACCAAGCTGCTTGGCAATGGTCTTGTAGCCCATTCCAGCCTTGTGTAGGTCTACAATCTTCTCCCTGAAATCCTTGGAGAGCTCTTTGGTCTTGGCCATGGTGGAGAGTTTGGAATCTGATTGATTGATTACTTCTGTGGACAGGTGTCTTTTATACAGGTAACAAACTGAGATTAGGAGCACTCCCTTTAAGAGTGTGCTCCTAATCTCAGCTCATTACCTGTATAAAAGACACCTGGGAGCCAGAAATCTTTCTGATTGAGAGGGGGTAAAATACTTATTTCCCTCATTAAAATGCAAATCAATTTATAACATTTTTGACATGCGTTTTTCTGGATTTTTTTGTTGTTATTCTGTCTCTCACTGTTCAAAAAACCTACCATTAAAATGATAGACTGATCATTTCTTTGTCAGTGGGCAAACGTACAAAATCAGCAGGGGATCAAATACTTTTTTCCCTCACTGTAAAGACCAGATTAAATCAAGAATAGTCTGATGGGTGACAATATTAGCCTATCACTTGTGAATGATATATTATCACTTGTGAATGATGCCCAGCTTGTGTGCAAATCATAGTCGCACACCTCATGTAGCCTAGGACATAGGCCTATATGTTTTGATAAGATTTGTATCACAACTAAAGTGGCCAAAAAACGTCTTACATTTAAGCACATTAATCCGCTTTACAACAGGTGTAGCGCCTAACTGGCATGCATATGCAGCGCCTGAAGATCATTTTCACCATAAAAATGCACCTTTATAATAAAATAAATACATGCATAATCGCATTTGCAGTCACTTGAGTGTTGTTTTCCCGCTAATTGATTGCATTTTGGAACATTCTCGCTTATAGCCTACTGCCGTGTGCGCATTGCTGCGCTTATAATGTTATGAAATAAACCATTAGGCTATCAACATTTTAAGCTAAACATTCTGATCTGTTGCGTCAGCCTCATTGCTTTTAAACGTTTATTTGATGCTAGTGGGTGTATTAATTTGGGATCTATCGCATCTCACAACTGTCCCAGACTATGCTTGGAATATTGATTTCTCGCACAGAATGGAATAGGTCAACTTTTGTACTATGGGGATATTCAGCCCAAGGGCACAACGGCCACTGGCCGCAAAAGGCATGGATTTTTTTAGGGGGCATTACGGCCACAGAAAGGGGATGCCGCCGAGAAATTTGAGGCATTATCAAGTGCTTGTCAAATTGTGAATGAGAGACTGATGGAGTGTGTGCAGCCTGTGCAAAAAAAACAAAGTAGAGCTCATGCCTTTCATGCAACTTTTTTCAAATCATCATTAGAGTCGTATCATGCAGCCTTAGAATGTATTATAAATCAAAACATATAGCCCAACATTTGTATCACAACTAAAGTTGCATAAATAACTCTAAATTATGAATATAGGAGGACCTGTTTCTTTGTTAACCGCTCAACACAGATCAAATAATTCGGACAAAATATCCTTTCTATTTTATTCAACTATGTTAAGTTAATAATACGGAGAAAAAAAAAGGAAAAATAATGCCATGGAATTCTAAGCAAATCTTGTCTGCTAAATGAACTAGTGTAGCCCACAGCCATATGGCATAGCCAGATCAGGGCCTAACATAAGGACAACGCAGAGTATGCTATTCTGTTAATCTGAAATAGACTACATTTTCTTCATATCATGCTTCTTTAGACCTGTCTAAAATAAATAATGGATTTATTGTGATGGTGTAGGCTATATTAAATGGATTTATTAGACTTTTTTAAATGTAGATGTTCCAAAATCTGCATCAGTGGCTTGTTAGCTATGCGTGGAAGCCAGGAGAGATGCTAAATGTGTTTATGTTAATTAACGGTCAATTGCTATGAGACCAGCATTTATTTGCTTGACAATCACCAGCTGACAATTTCATGACCTCCACAGCCCTAGTTGTGCCAACCCACAGTTTCATCAGCTGTCCGGGTGGCTGGTCTCAGACGATCCCGCAGGTGAATAAACCGGATGTGGAGGTCTTCGGTCTGTGGTTGTGAGGCCGATTGGACATACCACCAAATTCTCTAAAACGACGTTGGAGGCGGCTTATGGTAGAGAAATGAACATTCAATTCTGTGGCAACAGCTCTGGTGGACATTCTTGCAGTCAGAATGCCAATTGCACTTTCCCTCAACTTGAGACATCTGTGGCATTGTGTTGTGTGACAAAACTGCACATTTTAGAGTGGCCTATATTGTCCCCAGCACAAAGTACACTTGTGTAATGATCATGCTGTTTAATCAACTTCTTGATATGCCACACCTGTCAGGTGGATGGATTATCTTGGCAAAGGAGAAATGCACATTTCTGGGATCTTTTATTTCACCTCATGAAAAATGGGACCAACTCTTTATATGTTGCGTTTATATTTTTGTTCAGTATAGTTAGTTACACCCACAGTATGTATCTCTTCTTTCACTGACTCTACCACTTCCTTTCCTCTCATCTCCCTCCAGGTTCACCGTGGTGTTCCAGCCTTTACAGTCATGTACAGTGCAGTTGGTTTAGGCTGGCTGGGCCGCTTCATGTCATGGCCTCTCGTTAGACCAGTCATGGACAAAGCTTATGCAATCTTTGCTAAAAACCGCCTGAAATGGACCGGACGAGAAGACTGTACTACAGGACGCTGTGTGAAGAAAGAACCTTGACCATGGAGGGAGTTGAAGAACTTACCCATAAACAGAGGAGACAGCACCTCATTACAGGTGTGGCACCTCTTCACAGTCAATATAAACTTTATTTCCTCTTTATATCAGGTGCACTTGGGCACTGAGTTCCACCACTGACTGGAACTTAACAAAAGAGCTTGCACTCCATTTGCTGGAACACATGCAGGAAATGTACACTATATAAATGCCCTTCTAGCCTCATCTCTTTTTGCCAAACAGACATTCTTTCCATCTGAAATCTTGTGGCGTAACTACTTAAAGCTACCACTAGATGGAATCTTTATCTTAGACAAGGTTATTGAATAGGTCCAAGTCAATGATTTATATATATACACATCATTGGTCCCAGTACATTAAAATGTATTGTTTGTAATTCACCCATGAATAAATTATTTGATATGATCATCAACCATTTTCAAGTTGGCATGTTGTTTCATTAGGTTGCTTGACACAAAGGATGAATAATACAGTGACAGAGATGATATAATATTGTATGTTACTTGTTTGTATATTTTTTAGTCATTCACTATTCACTACCAATCACTGTCATTCACTACCTAATGGTCATTCAAAAGTAAGTATTGTTGATAATCCTCCCAAAATTATGTTGAGGATCGTCCTGAGAAAATAACTCAAGATAAAGTTAATTTTGATGCCTCAACTATATCCTTTAAGAGAGACTCAACTCTTTCTGATCTTCAGAGTCCTCAAAGAGTCTCTGTACATCATGTGCCTGACAAAGGTTGAGATACTTTGCGATGATCTACTGTATGTTGTTTACTAAACATGGACCCGGTATGTGACAGGGTTATTTTAGGTTGGTTGTAGGGTACATTGTGCTATATATGAGTTGGGCTCTTGCCATTGCACCTGTTGACCTACACTACCAGTCAAAAGTTTGGACACACCTACTCATTCAAGGGTTTTTCTTTATTTTGAATATTCTCTACATTGTAGAATAATAGTGAAGACATCAACACTATGAAATAACACATATGGAATCATGTAGTAACCAATAAAGTGTTAAACAAATCAAAATATATTTTATATTTGAGATTCTTCGAATAGCCAACCTTCATGACAGCTTTGCACACTTGGCATTCTCTCAACCAGCTTCATGAGATAGTCACCTGGAATGCATTTCAATTAACAGGTGTCCCTTCTTAAAAGTTTTTGGAATTTCTTTCCTTCTTAATGCGTTTGAGCCAATCAGTTGTGTTGTGACAAGGTATTATTCTACAGTGTAGAGAATAGTAAAAATAAAGAAAAACCCTTGAATGAGTAGGTGTGTCCAAACGTTTGATTGGTAGTGTATACAGAAGATAGCCCTATTTAGTAAAAGACCAAGTCCATATTACGGCAAGAACAGCTCAAATAAGCAAAGAGAAACTACAGTCCATCATTACTTTAAGACATGAAGGTCAGTCAATCCGGAAAATGTCAAGAACTTTGAAAGTTTCTTCAAGTGCAGTCGCAAAACCTTCAAGTGGTATGATGAAACTGGCTCTCATGAGGACTGCCACAGGAATGGAAGACCCAGAGTTACCTCTGCTGCAGAGGATAAGTTCAATAGAGTTACCAGCCTCATAAATTGCAGCCCAAATTAATGCTTCGCAGAGTTCAAGTAACAGACACATCTCAACATCAACTGTTCAGAGGGGACTGTGTAAATCAGTCCTTCATGGTCGAATTGCTGCAAGAAACTACTACTAAAGGATACTAATAAGAGGAAGAGACCTGCTTGGGCCAAGAAACACGAGCAATGGACATTAGACCGGTGGAAATGTGTCCTTTGGTCTGGAATCCAAATTTGAGGTTTTTGGTTCCAACCGCCGTGTCTTTGTGAGACGTGGTGTGGGTGAACGGATAATCTCTGCATGTGTATTTCCCACTGTAAAGCATGGAGGAGGAGGGTTATGGTGTGGGGGTGCTTTGCTGGTGACACTGTCTGTGATTTATTTAAAATTCAAGGCACACTTAACCAGCGTGGCTACCCCAGCATTCTGCAGCGATACACCATCCCATCTGGTTTGGACTTAGTGGGACTATCATTTGTTTTTCAACAGGACAATGACCCAACTCACCTCCAGGCTGTGTAAGGCCTATTTTACCAAGAAGGAGAGTGATGGAGTGCTGCATCAGATGACCTGGCCTCCACAATCACCCAACCTCAACCCAATTGAGATGGTTTGGGATGAGTTGGAAGGAAAAGCAGCCAACAAGTGCTCAGCATATGTGGGAACTCCTTCAAGACTGTTGGAAAAGCATTCCATGTGAAGCTGGTTGAGAGTGCCAAGAGTGTGCAAAGTTGTCATCAAGGCAAAGGGTGGCTATTTGAAGAATCTCAAAAATAAAAAAATATATTTGGATTTCTTTAACACTTTTTTGGTTACTACATGATTCCATATGTGTTATTTCATAGTTTTGATGTCTTCACTATTATTTTTCAATGTAGAAAATAGTAAAAATAAAGAAAAACTCTTGAATGAGTAGGTGTGTCCAAACGTTTGACTGGTACTGTATATTGCTTTATAGATCAGGCTAATGCAAATGTACAGTGCGTTCGGAAAGTATTCAGACCCCTAGACCTTTCCACATTTTGTCACGTTACAGCTTTATTCAAAAATTGATTAAATTGTTTTTTTCCCTCATCAATCTACACACAATACCCCATAATGACAAAGCAAAAAAAGGCTTTAAAAAAATAAACATTTACATAAGTATTCAGACCCTTTACTCAGTGCTTTGTTGAAGCACATTTGGCAGCGATTACAGCCTCGAGTCGTCTTGGGTATGACACACCTGTATTTGGGGAGTTTCTCCCATTCTTCTCTGCAGATCCTCTCAAGCTCTGTCAGGTTGGATGGGGAGCGTCTCTGCACAGCTATTTTCAGGTCTCTCCAGCGATGTTTGATCGGGTTCATGTCCGGGCTCTGGCTAGGCCACTCAAGGACATTCAGAGAATTGTCCCGAAGCCACTCCTGCATTGTCTTGGCTGTGTGCTTAGGGTCGTTGTCCTGTTGGAAGGTGAACCTTCGCCCCCAGTCAGAGGTCCTGAGCGCTCTGGAGCAGGTTTTCATCAAGGATCTCTCTGTACTTTGCTCCGTTAATCTTTCCCTTGATCCTGACTAGTCTCCCAGTCCCTGCCGCTTGAACACATCCCCACAGCATGATGCTGCCACCACCATGCTTCACTGTAGGGATGGTATTGGCCAGGTGATAAGCGGTGCCTGGTTTCCTCCAGAAGTGACGCTTGGCATTCAGGCCAAAGGCTGTCATGTGCATTTTACTGAGGAGTGGCTTCCGTCTTGCCACTCTACCATAAAGGTCTGATTGGTGGAGTGCTGCAGAGATGGTTGTCCTTCTGGAAGGTTCTCCCATCTCCACAGAGGAACTCGAGCTCTCTCAAGGTGACCATCAGGTTCTTGGTCACCTCCCTGACCAAGGCCCTTCTCCCCCAATTGCTCAGTTTGGCCGGGCGGCCAGCTCTAGGAAGAGTCTTGGTGGTTCCAAACTGCTTCCATTTAAGATTGATGGAGGCCACTGTGTTCTTGGGGACCTTCAATGCTGCAGAAATGTTTTGGTACCCTTCCCCAGATCTGTGCCTCCACAGAATCCTGTCTCGGAGCTCTACGGACAATTCCTTCGACCTCATGGCTTAGTTTTTGCTCTGACATGCACTGTCAACTGTGGGACCTTATATAGACAGGTGTGTGCCTTTCCAAATCATGTCCAATCAATTTAATTTACCACAGGTGGACTCCAATCAAGTTGTAGAAACATCTCAAGGATGATCAATGGAAACAGGATGCACCTGAGCTCAGTTTTGAGTCTCATAGCAAAGGGTCTGAATACTTATGTAAATAAGGTATTTCTGTATAAATGTGCAACATTGTCAAGAAACCTGTTTTCGCTTTGTCATTATGGGGTATTGTGTGTAGATTGATGAAACAATGTATATATTTAATCCATTTTAGAATAAGGCTGTAACATAACAAAATGTAGAAAATGTCAAGGGGTCTGAATACTTTCCAAATGCACTGTACATAGCAAATATTTGGAATTTAAATTAACAATGCTAGTGAAATAGGAACTATACACTGTACATTTTTCAGTTCTGAGAAGCACTGCATACTGTCAATATTATGTTACCTCTGAGAAGCATAACAAAACATCACTTGACACCCACATCTGTCTAAAATATGTACTGGCTAGAACATAACTGTGTCACGCAAAGTGTGACTGTGACGTCAATGACAACTTTCTCAACTCACTCTGAAATCCCTATCACGCCTTCTCTTTATTTAGACAGCGGTGACAGCAGATGACCTTAAGTAGAGGGATCTGCAGTCTTAAAGAGGATTGGTTAGTCCGAGGGCTGCTATGCCCAGCCCTCCGCTCAGACCAGCCAATAGGATACAGACCCTACAGGAAGGTAGGATGAGATTAAGTATCAAAACAGAAACAGTGTCGGTACTTTTGAAGGGTTGCCCTGCAGGACATCCAATAAGAAACTGTTTCAGGATAGAGAGCAAAACATAAAAGGAAGAAAGCGGAGGATAACAGGAGAAGAGTTGCCCCAGGTAAATGTTTAATCTATACCTGCCTCATATTTATCAGAATCTACTGTATGTTGTCTCAAGGTTATAGTGAACATTGTCTACCCAGGTCTAGCCATGCAGTACCTGACTGGAAAATCTGTGCATATGACCTTCCTTGGTGCAGGTAGACAGTATTTCTTGATGTTCAATGTACTATAGCAAGTTGCTATTTTCAATTAAATTGTGCTCCTTTGTTATGTACCGCAACTACCTTGCATTTAGGAGGGACACGGCTACATATAGAAGTACAGTCATAGCTTATTTTGGGTTTTACCATAGAAATGAGGGTGCAGTGAGGTAAGAACTATCCTCTCTGCTTCTCAGATTTCTGTCACATTAAAGGGATACCTCCGCTAAGTTCTCTCCTGAGTCCTAATAGTGGACTTAGTAGAAAGTGTTTTATTAAAACATGTCCCAGGATTCCCGCTCTTTCTAGATTGACATTTGTGTAATGGTGTAATGTTATATTTACGAGGGAACAGTGGGACAGCATGTCTATTTTGTCAGAGGTGTTTATAAAATGTGACCAGGACCACACACACAATGTATCAAAACAACCCCCCTCCCTGGTAGTTGTTATTGTGGCAGGTAAAGATATACCTCTTGCCAGCTCCCGTATTGTAGTGATGTGGTAGGGACATTGATATGACATACTGATGAGGGCACATGGGTGCAGGACAGGATGTTTTTTGACCTCATGCCTCTGTCTACATATAAGGGAAGACTATGTTGGCCTAATTATTTGAATGGCAGATAGTTGTCTTCCAGATGTTGTGTTCTTTAGCTTGTTTACAAATAAAGGCTCCACCTCAACACAAACATTTTACATTGTTTCCAGCTCAGATTGAGATGGATTTTTTAATTTTGATCTGTTTAGAATAGTCAGCCAGCCACTTTTGATTGTTTGTGGGAAACAGACCTGGGCAGAAAATAGTTATATTTTGTAGTTTATGTAGTCAAATATAGTTTCAACTAAAAGGCAACTATTTTCTTTTGATATTCAAATACAGGTTGCAGAAAACCAAATATTATTTGAAGGTATTTGAATATAAGGAAGTTATTTGAAAACAACAAATATGTATTTGAAGGCTGCAAAATATATGATGAAGAACCAAAAACTACAACAGTTAGTTGAATTAGTGTACAAATATGATCAGAAGAACATGGTTTGGAGGGCTCTTTGATATGAATCTTAATATAGCCGATAGTCTAGAATCAAATACATGAGGTGCATGGAATCACCTCAACATTAGAGTAGACCACTTTTGAAGCTTCAAATACATTTTCATAATGAGTCAGACATAAGATGATACAGTAACACTTGACTGACTATCTATCTATCTATCTATCTATCTATCTATCTATCTATCTATCTATCTATCTATCTATCTATCTATCTATCTATCTATCTATCTATCTATCTATCTATCTATCTATCTATCACACTGTATCAGATAAAGAAAGACAGACATCCCTTTTATTAAAGGTAGGTCATTCAAGTGATGTTGGCCATGTTTTTAAAAAAGTGTAGTAACTTTGGAACTTTCTTTATAATTGCACACTAATGGAGTTATTACATACATTGAATAAGGAACAGTCAAACTCTCAGCTCATTGCTAGGCAATTAAAATGTTATTACCAAAATATTATGTAACAACATGCTAATCAACTGTTGCTCCAAAAGTAATTTGTTTTATTACAGGCACAATAACTTTTTAATGTTATGTCTTACTGAGAACGCTAACAGTAACAATATGGCTATTAAGTGTAGAAAGGAAACTCAATATCCCAAAACTGCTTTCTTGAATCAAATACAGCCAAGGTAGGTTGAAAATCATGTTAGTTTGTATACTAAGTAAACTATCCCTTTAAAAATTGTATAGTGTGTGTTGGAAACAAGAACACTTATCTGTACTAAATATATTTGGGAGAATGGACATTTACAAAATGTTCAGATAGAAATGTATTGTGTAGCTCAAATGAAGTTTCATTTCAAAACGCTATATATCCATTTTCAGAAATGTTGGTAAATTAGCTTTTATTGTTTAAAGAACTTTGAAAGAGATGGAATGGATTTGTTCATAGACAGAGACATGTATTTGTTTGAAATCTATCACTTGATGGTTTCCTTTCAGAGAGACAAATAATCATGTTTTGTTGCAAAATGCCATCTGCCTCACTCTCAGAGAAATAAGTAGTACTGTTAGGAGGTTTTACACAGTCAAATCTGACAAATAACTATTTTTTAAATAAAGAACTGTACAAATTATACATTTGTGACATCAATATTTTTTTCAATACAAAAATTAATCAATACAGTAATATGAGATCTGTATGTAAAATATTTACATTTACATTTTATTCAATTAGCAGATGCATTAATCTTAAAATAGTTAGGTGAGACAACCACATATCAAAGTCAAATATACAGGATACGAACATTCCATTTCAGCTAAACAATGGATATATAGCGTTTTGCAACAACTCGTTTTAATACATCTAAAATCTATAAATTAAGAATCTTTAAGAATCTGAGAATATTTTACACACAAAAAAACACTTGTGAAAAAGTGGAGTATAGATTTTTGGAACGAAACGCTTCAAATATGACTGTCAGACTGGAATAGTATAGGATGTTGTGTGTCCTCTATTCATTCTATCTTCAACATGCAGTTCCAGATACAGCCCTGCCATTAGTTGAAGGCAGCCAATCCAATAGTTTCAGAAAAGCAGTCACTTCCTGAGATCTGTATTTAAATAATTTGTCAAAGTAGTTGCTTTCTCAGATCTGTATTCAAATAGTTTACAGAAGTAGTTACTTTCTGAGATCTGTATTCAAATAGTTTTAAAAAGTAGTACTTTATTGGGATCTGTTATTCAAATAGTTGTAGTCACCTCCAAAGTAACTATTTGTTCCCCTGGAAAAATAGTTACTTTCCACAAAGCATAGTTAAAACTAAAGTTATCACAGTTTTGGTGGGAAAATCTACTTACCTCTCCCTCTTGTATTTTACAGGTACCAGATGATTCTGATATCTCGGCCTAAGCCAATACAGGCCCAGCTCCTAGCACCCTGTTGGTTGTCTTTGTCCCCAGCCGGCTACATCCAAGCTAAAGATGGGTCGGTTCCTCAACATAAACCTCTGTGTGAGTCACCTGGGAGGGAGGACGTTAAGACTGTACTGCAAGCTCAGGTACCTCATAACCAGCCTTAGAACCTTCCCTCACCTGGCCAAGACACCCCTAGCCTTGGACTTCCGTAGCTACTCCTTGCCTTCCTCTCCCCTGCCTCCCAGCTTTCCAAGGAAAGGCGCCCCCAAGAGCTTAAGGTTCAAACACAGGAGCTTGACCCCTGAGTACCTCCTTGGGGGTGGTACCAGAGGGGTGAGATACTCCCAGGCGGTCCGTGTCTACTCAACCTTGAGTAGGCATGAGTTGAAGGCTGAGGCCCCCATCGGGGTCCTTCGCGAGAACAGCCTTCAGGAGGACAGCCAGACACCCTTTCAGCTGAGCATGCTTTGTCTGGGTGATTCTTTTAATCACCTCTCCAGACACATCAATATTTACTTCAAGAGAAAGGATGTGACCCAGCAGTCCCCTGTTGCTGGGAATGTGGGGTTTGTCGTCACAACTCAGGAGAGTCTGGGCAGCAGGCCACAGAGGCGTAGTCAAAGTAACAGGGCAGCCAGGGAGAGAAGAGCAATGGAGGACAGGGAGACAACAACACAGCAGCCTTTGGAAAATGAAGACGAGCTTGAGACGTCAGACAGCCAGACAGAAACAAGTTCCTCCCCCCAGCCATATGGTAGAATGCAGTTATTTCACATCAGTTCCATTGCCACCAGGTTTGGGGAAAGTTACAGTTATGTTGCTCATCACATAAACTCATCACATAAACACCTAAAGTCAGTGTTCGCCAAAGGTTCGGCACAGGACTTCCTAGGTTCAACTCTGGAAGAGACTCTGGAGGATCTGGCTTCAAGCAGAGTGTCGACCAGGGGGATGAGGAGGAGGAAAACAATAAAAATAAGTCACATTGAAAGTGTAAAGGAAGCTGAAGCGGCTCAGTTAAAGACTAGTGCACCTGTAGCTCAGACCACAGCCATTCAGAAACCAGCCATTGAAAGTGCTGATATCTCCAACAACTGGGAGGGAGAGGCAGAGGGCTACCTTCACTTTTCCCAGCACGTCAACAGATACTTTGGAGCCAAAACCGTTACAGACGAAACCGAACTACCACCACCTCAAACAGAACATCTGGTTGCGGACAACATGCCAAACAGTAGGACGTATCAACAGCAGTGTTCTATACCTTCTACCTCCAGACATGAACAATCACCCACAGGGCTGAAGCAGGAAGAACAACCCATTCGTCCCAAATCCCTTTTCCACATTAGCAACATCACAACCAGTTTCGGTGAGAACTATGCATACATGGCTAATTACGTCAACAGCTATTTCAAAGGCAGCTATGATGCCGTGGAGGAGGAGGAGGAGTTAGAGAGAGGTCCCATAGAGGAACGCAGGGGAGAATGGGAGATGGAGTATGGATCCGTTAGGGTCCCGAAACCACAGCCTGCTGTATCCTTCATGGAGTGCCTTCTCAATCCCCGTAGTGCCATCCCCAGCCTCCTGGGGGGATATCTGGGGGACTCCTGGGCTCAGAGGAACCAGGCCCAGCCTGCCTCTATGCTCAGTGAGGCCACACTTAGAAGAATGGTGAGTCACCTTCAACACAACCAGGAAATGCAAATGATCTGTGTGCTTGCTTCTGATTTTAGATGAATTTACATTAACCAGATTTAGCATTGAAGTCGGACGTTTACATACACCTTAGCCAAATACATTTAAACTCAGTTTTTCACAATTCCTGACATTTAATCCTAGTAAAAATTCCCTGTTTTAGGTCAGTTAGGATCACCACTTTATTTTAAGAATGTGAAATGTCAGAATAATTGTAGAGAGAATTATTTATTTCAGCTTTTATTTCTTTCATCACATTCCCAGTGGGTCAGAAGTGTACATACACTCAATTAGATTTTGGTAGCATTACCTTTAAATTGTTTAACTTGGGTCAAATGTTTCGGGTAGCCTTCCACAAGCTTCCCACAATAAGTTGGGTGAATTTTGGCCCATTCCTCCAGACATTGCTGGTGTAACTGAGTCAGGTTTGTAGGCCTCCTTGCTCGCACACGCTTTTTCAGTTCTGCCCACAAATTTTTATAGGATTGAGGTCAGGGCTTTGTGATGGCCACTCCAATACCTTGACTTTGTTGTCCTTTAGCCATTTTGCCACAACTTTGTAAGTATGCTTGGGGTCATTGTCCATTTGGAAGACCCATTTGCGACCAAGCTTTAACTTCCTGACTGATGTCTTGAGATGTTGCTTCAATATATCCACATAATTTTCCTTCCTCATGATGCCATCTATTTTGTGAAGTGAACCAGTCCCTCCTGCAGCAAAGCACCCACACAGCATGAAGCTGCCACCCCCGTGCTTCACGGTTGGGATGGTGTTCTTCAGCTTGCAAGCAACCCCCTTTTTCCTCCAAACATAACGATGGTCATTATGGCCAAACAGTTCTATTTTTGTTTCATCAGACCAGAGGACATTTCTCCAAAAAGTACGATCTTTGTCCCCATGTGCAGTTGCAAACCGTAGTCTGGGTTTTTTTATGGCGGTTTTGGAGCAGTGGCTTCTTCCTTGCTGAGCGGCCTTTCAGGTTATGTCGATATAGGACTCGTTTTACTGTGGATATAGATACTTTTGTACCTGTTTCCTCCAGCATCTTCACAAGGTCCTTTGCTGTTGTTCTGGGATTTATTTGCACTTTTCGCACCAAAGTATGTTAATCTCTAGGAGACAGAACGTGTCTCCTTCCTGAGCGGTATGACTGCTGCGTGGTCCCTTGGTGTTTATACTTGCATACTATTGTTTGTACAGGTGAACGTGGTACCTTCAGGCGTATGGAAATTGCTCCCAAGGATGAACCAGACTTGTGGAGGTCTACAAAAAAATGTCTGTGGTCTTGGCTGATTTCTTTTGATTTTCCAATGATGTCAAGCAAAGAGGCACTGAGTTTGAAGGTAGGCCTTGAAATACATCCACAGGTACACCTCCAATTGACTCAAATTATGTCAATTAGTGTATCAGAAGCTTCTAAAGCCATGACATCATTTTCTGGAATTTTCCAATCTGTTTAAAGGCACAGTCAATTTAGTGTATGTAAACTTCTGACCCACTGGAATTGTGATACAGTGAATTATAAGTTAAATAATCAGTCTGTAAACAATTGTTGGAAAAATTACTTGTGTCATGCACAAAGTAGATGTCCTAAGCGACTTGCCAAAACTATAGTTTGTTAACAAGACATTTGTGGAGTGGTTGAAAAACGAGTTTTAATGACTCCAACCTAAGTGTATGTAAACTTCCGACTTCAACTGTACATGAACATGTTTTTTGTTATTGTAGAATCAGATACTGAAATATTGATATTTCCAATAGTGTTTTGTTTTTTTTAACCTGATTTAATTTAACACTAACAGAGAGCATATCCTCCTTTAGCTCTGACTGTGATCATTCCTTCCTCAGGTGATGGGCAGGAGACAGGCAGAGGAGATGACCCGTGCTTTGGTGTTCAGTCTACAACAGGCCTTCTCGCCTGAGGCCATCACCGAAGTTGTCGATGAGCTCAACACACACCTCATCCGACACCCAGGATGCAAAGCAGTGGTCTGGCAGGTTTGTACTCAAGGAGTGTCTTTACAAGATCAGGTACTTTAAGAGTTTGCATAGGGCTGTGACGGTAATTGAATAACAGCGTAACTGACGGTTATGGATGAATAAAATAACCATCAAAACCATTTAAATAGGCCTTCATTCATTTATTTTTATTTTTTATTGACTTTATTTTCATGTAGATAAACTTTATCTAATAGCGGGCGTGTTTACTAATGATTATAGGCAATTGTTTTTATAACTGTGTCTACATTTCCTCCTCTTTCCAGCTGTAGTTTGATGTTATTTTATACAATTAACGTTTTCATTGCAGGTTGGATGTGTCTGACTATTCATTAATTATTCAACAGCAGTCGACAAGGTTGCTCTGGCTCTGAGGCCTATAATGCGCTAATGTTGTGTCAAATGGACAATGCGCCAATTCCATCCAACCTGGCATGGTGTAATTTGATACGGAATATTTTCTTAATTTATAGACTAATCAAAGCTGATAAATAGGCTATGGGATGTTGCGTGTATTTGTTTCTATTTTAATGATTGTCAATTTCATCTTCATACTATCACATAGCTGTCTCTCTCCTCTTACTTTCCTTGTCAATTCATTATCTTATAGCCTACTTTCGTAAAGCCTTAGTTAGGCCTAGGTTTTTTAATACGTTTTAAGAAAGGATAAATATTTGCTCTTGTGTCTGACATACGCTGGTGGCTTTGATTGGCGGGTCCTTTTTACGGGGGTGTGCGTGTGTGAGTTCACTGATTCTCTCTATAGGCCTATATGCCCATTCAGAAAGTTTCCTAAAGTAGCCTGTCTGGACTCCTATCTCTTTAATAAGAATCAAACGCTACTGTCATGATTTAATCTTGTAAAAGGCCTATTTTCACTAAAGGCCCTTTCTCACCAACTCCGTTATTTTCGTCCGAATAATTAGGAAGAAAAAAATACAAGTACATGTCTTGTTTATGACGCCGTTCACACCAATCTCAAAATATCATCCTGCCACAATCCGACAATTATTTATTTGGAACAGGTTTGATTTTTGCGTCTTTTCGCAATGCGAAAATAAGCTGTTGACCAATAGAACATGTTATCTGGGACACTGCCACTGACAGGCCGCACATTGACAGGTCTGTGGGTTCGTTGTGTGAATTAATTTCTCTCTGCCTGTTTTTTACATTTGCAATGCATCAGTGCAGCAATGTGTCAATTTAGCCAATGTGATCACATCACAGCAGAGCTAGGCTACACATCACTCTCGCCATTCAAACTTCCCCGCCTGTTCATTGCCAACGCTGTCGCCTATGTTGTAGCCATTCAGCAAGCTAGAGGATTGATCGAAATAAGTTTCAAACTATATTGCTGTTCATTGTCTATATATAGGCTACTCGTTCAAGAGCTAGAGAGATAGGGAACAGTGAAGATAGAGAGATGTTAAAGTTAATTAATGTATTAATGCATCATTCATATAGCCTAAATATTAGGCTACAGTATGCACACAGTGGCCAGTGTATTAGGTACACCACCCGGTTTATGAAAATGGTTGACACTTACAGTGAGTCATGTGGCCGTGGCTTGCTATATAAAGCAGGCAGATGGGCATTGAGGCATTCAGTTACTGTTTGATTGAACGTTAGAATGGGCAAAAGGAGTGACCTAAGCGACTTTGAGCATAGTTTGATCGTCGGTGTCAGGCACGCCGGTTTCAGTATCTTAGAAATGGCCAGCCTCCTGGGCTTTTCACGCATGACAGTGTCTAGGGTTTACCAAGAATGGTGCTACAAACAAAAAAACATCCAGTCACCGGCAGTCCTGTGAGCGAAAATAGCTCGTTGATGAGAAAGGTCGAGGGGGAAAGGCAAGAATCGTGCAAGCTAACAGGCGGGCCACAAACAGGCAAATGACACAGTACAACAGTGGTGTGCAGAACGGCATCTCGGAACGCACAACTCGTCGGTCCTTGTCATGGATGGGCTATTGCAGCAGACGTCGTATCAACTAAAAACAAGAAGAAGCGGCTCCAGTGGGCACGCGATCACCAACACTGGACAATTGAGGAGTTGAAAAACATTGCCTGGTCCAACAAATCGCGGTTCCTGTTGCGTTATGCTGATGGCAGAGTCAGGATTTGGCTTAAGCAGCATGTTTCCATGGCCCCATCCTGCCTGGTGTCAACGGTACAGGCTGGTGGCGGTGGTATAAGGGTGTGGCACACATTAGCTCCCTTGATACCAATTGAGCAACGTTTGAACACCACACCTTGTAGAATCCATGCCCCAAATAATTCAGGCTGTTCTGGAGGCAAAGGGGGGTCGACCCGGTACTAGATGGGTGTACCTAATAAACTGGCCACCGAGTGTATATTAAAGGCCTGCTAAAGTGAATCTAGGCGACCACCTGTGCTATACCAACCCTTAAAAGACAGAGTGAAAAAATGTCAGCCGGAGTTTACCCTTATCAATAAGTGGTTGCACAGATTTAGCTAAAGCTCTCACAAATTAAAATGTAGTGTCAACATAACCACCCATTAGGCTATGGACAGGTTGGCTGATCATTAGGCTATGGACAGGTTGGCTGATCATTAGGCTATGGAGAGGTTGGCTGATCATTAGGCTATGGACATGTTGGCTGATCATTAGGCTATGGACATGTTGGCTGATCATTAGGCTATGGACAGGTTGGCTGATCTTTAGGCTATGGACAGGTTGGCTGATCATTAGGCTATGGACATGTTGGCTGATCATTAGGCTATGGACATGTTGGCTGATCATTAGGCTATGGACATGTTGGCTGATCATTAGGCTATGGACATGTTGGCTGATCATTAGGCTATGGACAGGTTGGCTGATCATTAGGCTATGGACAGGTTGGCTGATCATTAGGCTATGGAGAGGTTGGCTGATCATTAGGCTATGGACATGTTGGCTGATCATTAGGCTATGGACAGGTTGGCTGATCATTAGGCTATGGACATGTTGGCTGATCATTAGGCTATGGACATGTTGGCTGATCATTATGCTATGGACAGGTTGGCTGATCATTAGGCTATGGACATGTTGGCTGATCATTAGGCTATGGAGAGGTTGACTGATCATTAGGCTATGGACATGTTGGCTGATCATTAGGCTATGGACAGGTTGGCTGATCATTAGGCTATGGACATGTTGGCTGATCAATAGGCTATGGAGAGGTTGCGTGCATGTGTTTCTATTTTCTAATTGTTGTCAATTTCATCTTCATGCCTACCACAGCTGTCTCTATACAGTATATCCCACTTAACTTTCCTTATCAATTTATATGATAGCCTACATTGATTTAGCATTATGCTATAATGTAGGCTATTTCTTTGATATCCTACAGAAATGAATTTTACAACTTTTTTATACATTTTTGGGAAAGGACAATTGTGATTTGCTTATGTGTCTGAGTGAGATGCTGTCCTTTGATTGATGGGTCCTTTTAGGTGGGTGGGTGTGCGGGTATGAGTTTATGTCCGTTCAGAAAGTTTTCTAAAATAGGCCTTCAACTCTTTAATCAGATTTTCTTTTTAACGGTCTCTTATTGCAGGGTCAGCATATATGCGAAGAATGACGACAGGTTCCAGTTGTGCATTTCCTTTCTTATTAAATGTGGTACAACTGAATGAAATAGCCAAGCTCCTTTCATGATTCATCAAATAGGATGCATAGCCTATATCCTAATATTTGCATTAGTATATTATTTTTCCAGTAGTATATGATTTTTCTCTTATTACTGCGTCCACTTTAAACAACATATGACCACAGAGAATGACCGCAGCAGCATTGGTGACGTTATATGAATTGTTTGGAAAAGTGGAGGGATTATTATTATTATATTATTAAAATTGCATCAGACTTTGTGTGAATGGTTTAGTGCGTCAAAATCGGAATCTGTATTTTTTCGGAATTACTCTCCAATCGGACATTTCTTAATTTGTATACTAGACTAATATTTAGAGGTAATAATAACTTGAATAATAATAATGAAATGCTACTGATAATAATGTAGTGTAATGGTAATAGTGAAGTTGCAGTGAAAAGCCACGTGTCGTGTGTCGTCGCCCCCCCACCCCCAGTCACAGCCCAGAGAACCATAATCCAAGAAGATTATAGATGATGATGCTTATTTTGTGATTTTTTTCATCAGTCATGTACTACTTCAATCATCACCTATTCAATAATGTGTCTTTCATTCCAGGAGAAAGCTGCTGTTCAGCTCTTAAGACAACGGCGAAGCCATAGAGAAGACCAGGAACTTCAGAGTGTCATTAGGGAAACCTTGGCTCTGATTGGCTATGTGGATCCAGTCAAAGGTCGTGGAATCCGAGTGCTCTCAATCGATGGTGGTGGCACAAGGTACTGATCCTTCTCCCCATGGTTAAATAATAATAATAATATGCCATTTAGCAGACGCTTTTATCCAAAGCGACTTACAGTCATGCGTGCATACATTTTTGTGTATGGGTGGTCCCGGGGATCGAACCCACTACCCTGGCGTTACAAGCTAACCCACTGAAGTATTACAATGAACTGTAACTGTTATAAAGGCATACAAGCACTTTTTATTAAATGGTAGTAATTTTTTTTTCTCTTTAATCACTTTTCTGTTTTCTCTCCTGTCACTTTTCAGAGGGGTGGTGCCACTGCAGGTCCTCAAGCAGCTGGAGGCAGAAACAGGCAAGCAGGTTCACCAGCTGTTTGACTACATCTGTGGAGTGAGCACAGGTAAGAAAAACCCTGACTCACCTACACATCTAGGATTCCCAAACAACACCTGAGCTTGAATCATTTAACCGTTGTCATGCAAATGATTAGTATTTTCCTGTCTGTTTGTCCTTCTTTTGTGTGACAGGGGCAGTGTTGGCCTTCATGCTTGGCCTGGCCCGTTTCTCTTTAGAGGAGTGTGCGGATATGTACCGTCGCTTTGGCTCAGATGTGTTCCGTCAGAATCCCCTGGTGGGCACAGTGAAGATGGGCTGGAGTCACTCCTACTACAGCACCGAGACCTGGGAGATGATACTGAGGTATGCCAGTTTACTGTTCAGTCAAATCAAATCAAAATTGTATTTGTCACATGTGCCGAATACAACAGGTGTAGACCTTAATGCTTACAAGCCCTTAACCAACAATGCAGTTTTAAGAAGAAAAAAAATAGTAGGTAATATGTACATGTAGGTAGAGTTAAAGTGACTATGCATAGAGAGTAGCAGCAGCGTAAAATAGGGGGTGTGGGGGGGGGGGGGGTGGCTACCCGGAATGCAAATATTCCGGGTAGCCATTTGATTAGCTGTTCAGGAGTCTTATGGCTTTGGGGTAGAAGCTGTTAAGAAGCCTTTTGGACCTAGACTTGGCGCTCCGGTACCGCTTGCCATGCGGTAGCAGAGAGAACAGTCTATGACAAGGGTGGCTGGAGTCTTTGACAATTTTTAGGCCCTTCCTCTGACACCGCTTGGTATAGAGGTCCTGGATGGCAGGAAGCTTGGCCCCAGTGATGTACTGGGCTCTACGCACTACCCTCTGTAGTGCCTTGCGGTCGGAGGCCGAGCAGTTGCCATACCAGGCAGTGATGCAACCAGTCAGGATCCTCTCGATGGTGCAGCCGTTGAACTTTTTGAGGATCTGAGGACCAATGCCAAATCTTTTCAGTCTCCTGAGGGGGAATAGGCTTTGTCGTGCCCTCTTCACGACTGTCTTGGTGTGTTTGGGCCGTGATAGTTTGTTGGTGATGTGGACACCAAGGAACTTGAAGCTCTCAACCTGCTCCACTACAGCCCCGTCGATGAGAATGGGGGCATGCTCGGTCCTCTTTTTCCTGTAGTCCACAATCATCTCCTTTGTTTTGATCACGTTGAGGGAGAGGTTGTTATCCTGGCACCACACGGCCAGGTCTCTGAACTCCTCCCTATAGGCTGTCTCATCGTTGTCGGTGATCAGGCCAGCCTTGCTTGAATCATAATGATGAATTCTTGAATTCTTAAAATGTCAAACCATGGTTCTGCTCTCATGTGTTTACCGTTTGTATTTCATTGGACCTTCTACAGAGAGAAGATGGGCGACCAAGTTCTGATTAAAACAGCCAGGGATGAGTTGAGCCCCAAGGTAATGTCACTCTACTCACTCTGCCCTTTTCAGCCATTGTTAATATTATGTGTGTGTTACCCATTCTTACATTCATATGGTGAAAATTGACCGTGGTGTTTTTCTAAATCGTTGTTCAGGTGTCAGCAGTGAGCGCGGTGGTGAACTGGGGCACCAGTCCCAAGGCCTTTATCTTCAGGAACTACAACCACAGCCCAGGCCGTCTCAGTCGCTACGCAGGGGGGTCTGGGTACCAGATGTGGCAGGCGGTGAGAGCGTCGTCCGCCGCCCCAGGATACTTCCAGGAATTCCCCTTACACAGTGACATCCATCAGGTAAGACTTTATTGGCTTCTACTCTCTGTTTCTGATAGCCCATGCTGGCTGAGACTGTGGTTGTTTAATAGAGGTGAAATCCGCTATAAAAGCACTGCATAGATCAAGCTAATGCCCTTATAATTTCTGTTGTTTGAGAGGGGTGTGGGATTCAGGACCCTTGATAGGAAAAATACGTGCAATGCTGTTAACTGTAATATTTTTTAGTTCAGAGTGAGATGCCCCATGTACAATGAAATTCATTGCATGTCATGTGTACCAACAGTTCCTGACTCAAAATGCATGTCCCTTTGTAGGACGGTGGCCTCATTCTAAACAATCCTTGTGCCCTCGCCATCCACGAGAGCCGTCTCCTGTGGCCCAACCAGCCTTACCAGTGTGTCCTGTCGCTAGGCACCGGTCGCTATGACAATGCTAAGCGGAGCCCGGGCACCTCCACCAGCCTGCGTGCCAAGATCAACCACCTGATCTGCAGCGCCACCGACACAGAGGGGGTCCACACCCTCCTGGACGACTTGCTGGCCCCAGACGTCTACTTCAGGTTCAACCCCATACTGAGTGCCGAGGTATCCCTGGATGAGAGCAGCGTCAGGGCCATGGAGCAGCTGCAGGCTGACACCCAGCTCTACCTGGACAGGAACAAGCCCAAGATGGCCAGGCTGTGTAAGGTGCTGGGGCAGGAGCGCACTGCGCTGAGCCACACCAAGGACTGGGTCAGTGAGAGAGCCTGGGAGATGCAGCAGAGCTGGGTTTGAGGGTCATAGGTCACAGGTCACAGGTTAGGCCACACACAGGCACAGCACAGTCACAACTCGGCTCTGGAGGAGAGTGGTAGGGTTTTGTTACTCAGTGCCTGTAGTTTTATACCCTGTTTTTATTTTTTCAGCTTTGGAGCAAACTGTTCCTTCCTCCCAAATGCATACATACACCTTTCTGTTTAAATTACTGTGTAAGTACGTGTTTCTATATATGAACACTAAAATGAGGAAATACATAGATGGAGCTCTGTTACTCTATTGCTTTAAAAGGGCTCTGTCTGTTACTCATGCATTTATGTATGCAAAATCAAAACTGCATAGTAATTTATATATTCAGTGCTGTATATGTATTAGTATGAGGATGCACTCCTTAATGGAGTAAGATTTACTGTGAATCAAATGGCTGGACTATTGTTAAGTATATTTGTCTGACATTTTCCTATTTGTGCACTTCCAGACCTAGGATCTAATACTATTTAGGGTATTTCAATTAGTTTCAAAGACATTTGGAAGTAAGTATTTAAATATTCTTTATTTAATAAGACAAGTAGTTGATTATTGGAATATATTAGGAAATACACTTGGAAAGTATTTGAAAATACTCAAATACATTGACTCAAATACACTCCCATGCATTTAACTGATGAATTTGAAAATAGTATTTGAAATAAGTTTTTGAAAATACTTTCAAGAAGTAGGCTATTTATAGGGAATAATTTGAAAATAATTTCAAATAATTCCAATAGAAGTAGTTGATTGGGGCCACATTATTTGAAAATACTCAAATACACAGAAAATAAATATTTAAATAACATGTAACCAGGTCTGGCACTGACCGTATATTGAAGATTTTTGCACTGAGGGAATTAGTGTAGCTGCTAGTTATAATTTTGTAAATGTAAAATCTATTTATATATAAAAAATAAACATTATTATAGAAAAATGATGTGTTGTATTTTCTTATGTGATATTTTTGTAAGATGCCTCACCCTCTTAAAAGCTATTAATTACTCTGAAGTATACAGCAAACTTGTCCCTCACATATCTGTGAAATATCTGGCCTCATGATGTGCTCAGCTGAGGCCTTTACATTCAAGTAGTAACATATCTAACTTCTCAGACCCAGTAATTCCCATACCAGACTTGGATTGGAGTTGGTGATGTAACAACTGAGCAATTAAAAAGCAGCAAGTCATATGTAATATTGTCTGTGTACTGCTGGAGTGTGAAGGGTTGATGGCAGCCTGCCTGCGTCTAGAGGCTGTACCCTTCCTGGTCAGTCAGTGTAAAGGACACACTTTGTTTGGGACAGAAATGCCTTGTTAGAGAGAGAATGAGTGTCTCTGTGTCAGCCAGAGAGAAGACAACAAGGTCAGTAATCCCCCTCCTTTCACTCAACAAAAGCACAGATAACAAAATATATTACATTACTTTAGACATCAAATCAAATCCTCTTCGGTCTATGCCATATGATAGTCCACTTCCCCATTGTGATGGATTGCTGTATGAAGAAATTACATGTTATGATGACATCTGGCTCCATTCAGCTAATGCGTGACAGCTGATCTGTCACAGTGGATGGAGATGACGTTATGTTTGTTGTATCCACATTACACAAAGGAAATAATATGGTGCCCATTTGACAAGTCGTGTGACCAGAACAGAGTTTGACCTGATTTTAACCTCTGAAGTCCTCATGAAATATTGATACGTGTCATGCATGTGGTTGGAAATAATGCAACTTTTTCCTGATAACACACACATTAGACCAGAGAAGATCAGAGTCCAATGAGAGACCGATGGAGGAAAAGGGCTGTTTAACAATGTAAGAACTAAATCTGTCAAAAGGAAAGAGAGATGAGAGGAAATACAGCAGCTGAATTATCCAGGTAACTTTGTTTTATTTCCTTGTATTTCATCTGTCCTTTGATTATCTTGAATGCAAGAAATCTTGATGACACCTCTAAAATGTTCTGCTGCTCATTGGTAACTAACTAATGTAATACCCTATGTTGAAGAATGAGCACTATGCCTTAATGAGATCAGTAAAACAACATTGTTTAGATTTTTGTTGTCTCTGAAGACTTTGTAAAGAAACAATTTATAGCTTGAAGAAAAAGTAATGTTTCTCTCATGGAATGTCTTTACTTGACCAGTAGATAAATGAAAGGCTATTGGCATGTGCATATAAGTCCTGCATGGACATGATGTAAGGATTTTATTATTTGATGAACACACCATGATGACTGTCTGTATCTGACTGAGACCTCTTCTAGTCATAGGCAGGGTCAAGCTTTAAATGATCTCATCGTCTTTCGAGACGAGAAGAGGGTGGGTCCATCTTCCACTGAATCAGCACTTTTGTCTGAGACAAACAAAGTGAGTACTGTATATTGTTTAGTTCCCACGATACTGTCAGAGTTTTTCCATTGGCCTTTTTCTCAAGGGAGCTGTACTCCTCATTTGCAGAGATATTTGCTTTTGATTTGAAGATTTGTACTTCAAATGAAAACATTACATACCCTTGATAATTTATACTTAAACTGATTTTCATGGCACTTGGAATGGTCCAATATTCAGCCAGGCCTAAACCTCCAGTTATGTAACTGTGCAGTGCTGAGAGTCATTGATACTGGCAGTTAAAGCAGTAATTGATTATAAATCTAATACAGCAATGAAGAGATACAGTAGTTTGTAATATAACATTAGAAGGTCTTGATTTCTAAGCACTGTTACAGAGTCCAAATGAGAATGATGATCAGGACTTCACCTGATGCTATCTTAAGAATAGAGCGGCCCCGCTTAAGTGGAATTTCTCTCCTACCAGCCACTACTTCCTGCTGATGACGCTGTGTTTTGAGTGATGGGTTGTCTCTGTCTCCGTTCCTGAACAGGCAGCTTGTGTAGAAATGGAGAAATCCTCCCACATGCCATCTGCTCCTAGCCAAGCTCTGGCCACACATGCCAAAGGGGACCCACGGGACATAGAGACCTTGATGTCCTCACGGAGCTATGCGTCTCTCGAGCCCTTCACACTGTGCAATCTGGTGGTCAGACTGAAACCCTGCTCAAGTTAAATGCATGGGAAGAAAAAAGCCATGACAAGAGCCAAGTAGCTGAAAATTTTTCGCCTTTGTTTCCTTTTTGAGGCGCCTCAACTTCTGTTCAATTACAATAACGTGGTGGGAAAGACAAAAACAAGAGGCTGGGCCATACTCAAGTTCTGTTCTCATCCCTGTGACACTGTTATATCTCTGTCACTGCGAGAACCTCAATGGTTTACGTCAAGGTCATGGTCATCGTCAGAGCTGATTGTGATCTGTGACTCCAAGCCCCCTTAGCAAAAGATCATTTAAAACCCTTTAGCGTCTTTTGCACAAACAAGCAGATATAATTTATTGGTTTTCATGTCACCCTTGCCATTTGTGATTGTCCATTCTAGCATAGAGTGCAGTATAAATTCATGCATTAGTGCTCTGTCCGGATTCCTGGGAGCCTACACAGATCAGAACTATGTGGAGAGGCTTGAGACTGCTTTTGTTTCCCACAGAGACAGAGGTCTCTTCTAGGATCCTGTGCTGTTTCAAGAAAATAAAGCATTTAGTTTGCCTGAAGGGTCCTCGGCTGAATGGCTTTGACCTTACCCCTTTTTAAAGATGTCAGTCTGAATGATTGATCTTGCTTGGGTGTACTGTATCAGAGTGGTCCAGAATGGGAATAGAATGCTGATTAGCTACATATTGGAAGGAGCAAATAGTGGGAAGGTGGCCGGAGTGCAAACAAGTGTTTATTTTTGTTATCGCACAAAAGGAAGTTCATTTGTCTACATGATTAGACACCATAAAATCGCATTAAACACAGTTCACAATCAGACAAAACAGACACAGCTTGTTACAAATATGCCTCTGATTTGGCTGTAAAGCAATAATATTGATCATCCCCTGTAACAGCCTTTGTGATAAGGTCATATGCCAGAGTTTTTCTTGCATGTAAAATTCATGTAAAATGGTTTTCAGCAGCCAACAGTAAGGCCCACATCACTGATGTCATCAAATACAATAAACATGCAAACTATGTGCAGACTTTGGGCTGGCTGGTGTTTCCACTGAGTTACAGAGTATTTTGGTGTAATTACTAATATACCCATAAGAAGTGTGTGGGACTGCAATGGAGATAAAGCATTGTTATTTACACAGCTTTGAGGTGAATACAAAAAAGTATGTCTGGCTTCCCTCATAATTTCCTCCACAATTTCCACAGCATACAAGGTTGTGACCACAGACCATAGACAGGTTAGCTGACAACGTCACGAAAAGGATGCATGCGCCTCAGTGGGGCAGAAGGCTGTGTGTTGTTGTCATTCTAGATCGCCAGATAGCTAGCAACAATGACAAGAAGCTGCCATGTGGGGAGTCGTAAGTGGCTCGTTTCAGCTAGTTTTATCTTGTTCTTGATACTATGTCATGTTTTGAGGTGTTTTGACTGATTTCATGTCTATGCTGAGAGAGAGAGAGAGAGAGAGAGAGAGAGAGAGAGAGAGAGAGAGAGAGAGAGAGAGAGAGAGAGAGAGAGAGAGAGAGAGAGAGAGAGAGCGAGAGAGAGAGATAGAGAGAGAGAGAGAGAGAGAGAGAGAGAGAGAGAGATAGAGAGAGAGAGAGAGAGAGAGAGAGAGAGAGAGAGAGAGAGAGAGATTGTCAGGGACAGAGATGTGGGTGGTGAGGGGCGTAGGGAGCTCATTCATGAGATGGGTGGGCAGAGTGCAGAATGGCCATGACACAGACAGAAACTTTATTACAGAAGTCTGTCCACTATGCTCTGCCTCTCCAGAATCCTACTGTTTGATTGACCAAGAAAACGGAATTGACTGATTGATCACCAAGGATTTTATCTGTTTACTGCACTAACTGGACATTGGAATTGTGGAGAAACTCAATGCATTGGAGAGTCTTGGAGATGATGGGGAAGAGGGAACCCTGATGCGATTTCACTTGAAGGATTGTACTTATGAAAGGTAACGCAGATGTAATGAGCTAATGAGTTCTAATGAGAGGAGGAAAAGTTTTGATAAGGGTTGTTGATGAGGTGATCAATGATCTGTTTTGTTACACTTTATATTATGTATATTTAGAAATTAACAGTAAAATAGTAGTGACATATTAATTACATGATAACAACATCTGTGTATTTCTTTGGGATTCAAATAAATCTATACAGCAACTAACAAAAGCTTTATAATGTAGTCCTGTGGAGGCTGGTTTTTCAGAATGGCTTGAGACTGAAGTTGAGTCCTGGGCATGTGTTCCGTAGGTGGATCTATTGTGCGACAAAGAGACTCTGTCAGAGAATGTGCCAGTGCAGACTGTTGATAGGGACAGAGATAAAATATTGCTGTTTGGAAACTAAATAGTATTTCATTTTATTTGGTTGTTTTGTGCTGGAAAATATTGTCTTACTAAACAATTGGTCCTATAAATGTCACAATATTTGATTGAATTTGATTTCATGAAACAGTTGAATTGCTTAATCGGTCACTTATAAAACAGTTTCTAGATAAGGGCATCTAGCAGTTCAACAGGATCGCTGGAGGCCATTCACTGTAAAGATGGGGACGCTGATCAGATCAACTCTATCACTGCTGTTATGGCAATGGCTGACTGCCATCGATGTCCCACTGGAAAGTAAGTCAACACAACCTATTGTGGCCCTGCACTGTAACAGTGTGGTATATGGCCAATGTCAATTATAAACTGGGTGGTTTGAGCCCTGAATGCTGATTGGCTGGGTATGACACATTTCTGTTTAC